ACTGCCCTGCTTCGGGTTTTCCAAATAACCTCCGGGTTTTCACAAAAACCAATCAGGTTTTCAGAAAAACCTTCCGGGTTTTCCAAGTAACCGGGTTTTGTTTACATTTCTTGCTGTATGCACAAAATGTGCTCAAAGACTGTCTTGCTCCGGGTTTTCAGAATAATCACCGCGTTTTCCAAATAACCGAAGACCATTAAAACGAAAAAGTACCGGGATTTTTAAATTTAATTCCTCATTTGCGATCAATACTGTGCTCCTGAAGGTCGTTCAAGGTACCGGGTTTTCCTGATAACCGAAGGCCATCAAAACAAAAGTACTGGGTTTTCCTGCTAACCGAAAACCATTAAAATGTAAAGTACCGTTTTTTTTAATTTAATTCCTGATTGCGGAAAATTTGCTCACCTTCGTCCATAGCTTCTTTAGCGTGGTGAAATATTAAAGAAAAAAGTAAATTGATGGGGCTGGAATACTGTGGGTGGTAAAATGGTGCGTCTTGAAACTTTACTCATGACCCATAGAGAACTGCATTCATCCTTGTTAGCAGCAGCAGCAGCATTATTGCGAAATACTCGTTCCTATGTCATGTTTCCTTTCTACTCATATTTGTAATTGACTTACCTGTAGGAATATTTTAATGATACATCAGTCATGCATTAGTAGGTTCTGGGAAGGGAGCATACACAGACAGCAATGTGATCTCATAATCCTGTTTTAAAGGAAAAAAGTTGTGACACAAGCTGATAAAATATTCTTGGGCTATCAGCCATGTCTGATGATAGGCAGAGATGGTCCCTGCGACATTGGAGATACTTAACCAACTGATGGAGCTCAAAGCCAAAGCAGATTTCATCCACTGTAGCTGCCATGAAAGCTTCAGGTCTTATGTTTAACGCGTGGTTTACACTGTAGTTAAAACGTAAAGCAGGGTAGTTTTATTTCAGATGTACACAGTATTTGTTACATGCCACAGGAAATTGAAAATGTGACTAGCCATACATGAATAGATAGCTTATAGCATTTTTTTTTAAATGTTATAAAAAATGGGCACTTCTGATATAATATCACTGTTAGAGACAGAAGTCATGGCTGCCATACAAATTCTGTGTTCCAGGTAGTAATGTGATACAATGGCAAGTGTGCTCTGTATGCAGGACACCACTGGAGGTTAAGCAACAAATATTTTAATGTGGATTCCAATTGAGATTATGAAATTTCCAATTTCACAATGTGGGATATTTCATTGGGAAGTGTATCTGTCTTCTCCTGGTGACAGAGCTGGTACAAGGGCATGCTGAAAGTAATGACTCCCGATTTCTTTTCCATAACAGCAATTTCATTGAAATAGAAATGGCTACTTTCCTTGAATTTTGTTCCCTATTTTATACAATTACCTCTCAAACAACCACTTCTGCCGTCCAGACACACCTGACATATTTCATGTACAGGTATTCGTCAATTAATGCACTAGTTGTGTTCCCAAAAGAAGTCACAGGGGGTGCAATGACACCAGGTAGGCCAACCTTTCTCTTCTCCCTTCCAATTCCTCCTCCACAACTGCACAGCATCCTAATGCCCCCTTCTTCCAAATTCTCTTGATTGGCCAGCAAGCAGTTCATACTAAAGCAAGTGTTTCAAGTCTAAATTAATTGACTGCATTAAAGTGAAACATGTTTTTAACTTGCATATACCAAGGAGTACCTGTACTTCTGTAAGTGTGGCATGACAGAACTCTGTCTTGTTGACAGAACTACATTTCACTGTCTTATGGAGGCATTACTTTTCAGCATACCCTTCCAGGACGAATGTTGCTAATACCAAAGCCCACCAGTGGACACATCATGATCCACAGTCTTATAACCAGTTTTGTCAAGATCTTGTTTGGATATCTTCCATCCACCACTTTTGCTTTGCCAAGTGGATGCTTTCCAGCATGTTCCAACAAAAATATTGTATGTATTCGTGTTTCCCCATCTCAGCTACAAGTCCTTGATGCAACTTTCCTGACAAAACTGGAAAGCTGTATAATCATCGAGTTCCTTGGTGGGGACATTGTGTGCTATAACACTGTGTTGCAGTCTGGCAGGCAGACACCAGCGTTCTGGCGAAACACACTATGCTGCAGTCTGATAGGTGGATACTAATGTTTTGGTGGAATGTGTGCCTCCAGCTTTAGGATGACTCCAGATATCAGACATGTAGATTACGTACGTACAGATGTTTGCCCTGTTCCCATTCATGAATAACATGCATTGAAGCATCATGTTGTGTTTGCAGTCACAATATTAAGTCAGGTCATCCACAAACAGCAGTTTCATTTGACTGATGATACGGGATATGACACTGTGCAGGTTGGTAGAAGTTTAATGACATTTCAGAGGAACACACTGCCTTCAGCTTCAATTTTTCATCCTGAAGATGGAGGAAGTATATCTGTCTGCAGTGTTGGTAAAAACAAATTACAGAGCATTACATTTCAGGAGACTTAGCCTCATTAATACTTCTGAAAAGTCAGGATGTGATAGAATGTATGTAGCACAAGTCTACCCTTATGAAGGTGGTGTTACGTTCCTCCAAAATGTTGTCAGACGCCTACTCACCTACACAGCATCACTCCCAACTTCGTCATGATCACTGCCATGAATATCTCACATGTAACACTGGTGTTTGTAGATGACTGTACTTCCACTTATGAACAAGAAATATTGGCACACTACAACACTACAGTAATTGTGCTGTACTGAATAAACTGAACTGTGATCAGTTCAGATGAATTACATTACATAATGAAATCAATTCTCAGAGCGTTGTTTGAACAAGTCTTCATCACAGATGTGAGTCTGTTAGGAAATCTGTACAAATTAATAAATGGCAAGTCTACCACTGCAACCATTTAAAGCTATCGGCCTGACGCTTCAGTGGCCCTGCCTGGGCTCTAAATGCACGTTGCCACCTCAAGTTTACAGTGAAACTTTTAGTGCATTCAAATATATTATGAAATTAAAACATTTCTACATCATTTTTCCTAAAGCTGATATATATTTAAAGTGAAACTATTTTATTGTACCTTTCTCAACAGGACACTGACCAATAAAGAAACAAAATCTTCGTTTCTTTTGATAGGTGTCTCATACCTTTTCTCTGAAAACCATTTACTGAATAATTAATGACCTATGGTAAGGACAAATAGTAATGACCATCAATAACCATAAGCAGCCTGCTCTGAGAATGTTACAAACTGAACTCAACTCCACACACAATTCCAACCTTGCAAGTAACCACATTAACTGAACAACATATTCTACATGCACCTAATGGAGTAGGTGTACATGTTTTAAATTATAATCCCTGTTTCGTGAAGAAATACACAAGTGTAACAACTTTTGTAATTATGTGACTTCAAGTTAATTTCTATTAACAAAGACTAAAACATATTCAAACTATCTTAAATAATTAAGTGGCTGCAATATATGTGACTGAGGTTGTCAACTTACAGTTATACATTACTGATATCAAGAAAAATGTAAGTTTGGGAACACCTGTAGTCTGTCTGGGTACCTTCTTAAGTGAAGATTAGTAACACATCAGGATTACAATTCAGACTTCAGATAATGTCCAGCACTGACGTATATACTCATTTTGGGTTCAAATCATTATCACCACCTCCAAGAAGATGCCTTAAGATCAGTCTTACACAGTTTCATGACCTGATATTATTATTGGCCGAGTCTATGTGTCTTTCAAGTTTTCATATACCTACAGAAGACACTTGATCATCTGCATGTGGATTAAACACAGGACTTTTATAACCATGTATAAGATTTTTAACCACTGTCCACTGTAAATAATTAAAGCTGTTTTCAATTTTTCATCCTCTACATGTTCCAGTTAAAATGACCATCCTCAGAAGGGTATTATCAACATATATGGAAACTACTATTACATGTCATAGATATAAATGTAATATCTTTTTAACTAATATTAAGATAGACTTTAAAGGATTCTGACAATGGTGTAAGCTGTACAGATCTATAAGGTTTATTTTGGACTCTATCCATCATCTGGTCATGTAACTCCAGTTTCCACATGTGTTGATAATACCCTTCTGAAGATGGTCGTTTCGACTGGAACATGTAATGGATGAAAAATTAAAAACAACTTTTATCAATCACACTGGACAGTGGTTAAAAACCTTATATACAGTTACTAGTGTGACGGACCAGGATGATCCAAGTTACTTTTGTAAACAATTACAAATGTTTCAGTGATATGTAAGTGGGGCTTTACAATGATGTGCAGTAGACTGTACATCTTCTGATTCTGTTGCTTGTGTAATTTTACAGCTGTTCATACTGGCCTACAACTGAACAAGGGTTTCTTTCTTCCCTTGGAAGGATACAATATTGCTACTGCAATCAAGAAAGGCCAAACATAATTACTTCATGTCTGATTTAGCATAGAGGCTGTTCATCTGGCTCATGTCCTATAAGCAAGCAACAGATCACTAGAAATTGTACTTTTCAGCTTACAGGTGCCAACAGGTTACCTAAGGAAGCAGGAGAACCACTGTACTCATTTGAATGTGACATGAACTCTGTAGCGTTCCTTCCAGTACACACAGGCACTGTCAGCAGCTGCAAGCTGTGTCTTATTTAAAATAGAGATGTTATTCCAGACAGTAAGAAACAATAAAAACGTAAGTCCGCGCCAAAGTTTAGAGTTGGTGCCAGCGTATTTCATGAAGAATTTGCAGTTTTGTTTTTGATATGGTTGCCCTGAAAAAGAAAGAAAGAAAATGTAGTAATGCTCATGTTCCATGCCGCTGCTATTCTTTACTATGTGTGCAGCAGCACGCACACAGGAAGACTACACAGAATAACACCTGTACAGTGCTCGAAACAAGAACTAGCCACTGCAGCACTTTAGACATAGGGCAAGTAACCCTAACAATTTTAAATTTTAAAATTTAGAGAAAAATTTTAAAGGATTTTAAAATTAGAATTAAGATTTTATAGTGCTCCTACAGGAAAATCAAAATTAACGTGTGCAAATAATCTATAAACCAGACAGATATCAACAAAGTAGATGTTGCTAATAACAACAAAAGGAACAATGTGTTTTTAAATGTTAAATTTTAAACTAAGTGCAGTGTAACAGCAACGTGAGTGTATACACCTGATGATGGCCGTCTGAGGCCGAAACATGTAGTGCAAAGGAGAGCAAGATCATGGACATATAATATATTGTTTGCACTTGGGACGGAGTTTATATCATTTATCGTATAGGGTGCAACAGGATGCTTAAATATAATAGGGTACTACAATATACTAAAGTAAAGTAAAGCTATCCCCGCAACAGGCTGTGGAGGCCCATAGGGTTGTGAGATGTTGAGGTTCCCACATTTTCTAGACAATCGGCTCACGGGTGGCGGCAAGGTTGTCAGCCCTATGCGCCAGCCGCCCTTTGCCCCCAAGAATATTCCTGGTACTCATTTCTATTAGAGGCTAAGTCGACACCAGGGCCATAATGCGGCTGGAAGGATTAGGTCAATTGAAAAAAAAATCCAATTACTTCATCGGGACTTGAGCCCATGACCTTCCGGCTTGTATTAGAAGTAAGAGCTCATGACCAGATCTGGACCGATACTCACTCCCTCCTGTTCAGTTTTCTTCATTCGTTTCTACACTTTATTTTTGGAAGTTTATGAGACCGGTATCTGAAATTAGAAACAGAGACAACATTAAAGTCACTGTATTTTAGGATCTTACAGAATGTGGCCATGTTTCCAAGTAACACGTAAAATCCTTTCATCCTGAAGTTTCAGCCAGAAAAAAGGGTATGATCCATTTACAGTTCAATCTGTTATTTTGTGAAATAATAAGAATATGTAACATTCCGTTTTCCAACACAACTTACTCATACAGCTAATAACCAGAAATGGGAATGCTACAGCACATTAAAGTCGGCGGGATTGAAATGATTAACGCTAAATATTTTAATAAAAGCACAATGGGACAGTAATAATTTTGAGGCATGTTTCTTCCTAATTCATGGAACTTATCTGCAAAATGAACCATTCTGCCATATTCTATGCCTACACAACAAACTATATCAAGTACAAAGTACTGACACACTCAAATGTCACAATATGTTGGCTTGTTACAAACTGTCACATACAGAATGGGAGAAAAGGAAGTCAAACCAACAACTATATGTCAAAATGTTCTACTGAAAGCATCTGAGGTGGAAGACAATAATCTCACTCCCTCATGATAGGGTAATCATGATTGTGCTGGTCAGCAGAGGGACACTACAATTTAACATGGGCTCTAACCCACTGGGGAGGGGGGGGGGATCCTTTGTATTCCTGAAGCTCGAACTCTGGTAGGTGTGAAGGCATCATCTGTGAGCAGACAAATCTGTATACGGATATGACTGAGGACCGAACTCACAACCTTCTGAATGGGTATAACAGCTAACCCCAGGACCATTTTCATAAGGATCTAATTTAAGTGGTTCTAGTGTTGCTCCCAACTCAGTCATCATATTAATGTGGCTGCTGGTACACAACTGAAAGAACATGTGAGTGGCACGATAACAATACAGAGTTTCACATAAATTCATCAGTTGGTTCACACATTACAGTGAGGAAGGCACACACGAATGATAAACACGGTAGTCCCATAATCTTGTCCGTTTCCACTGAAAAACTGCTTCTTCCTCGGAACTTTTTTCTTAAAATGGCAATTACTGTGGAAACCTTTCTTCTCTAAAGAATGTACTACCATTGGACAGGCTACCCACCACAATGCGAACTATTTTAAAAAACTGATATGCTATTATCTGTGCTAACCTGAAAGCCTCCTTTGTGTTAAGTACGTGTCCATCATAATCTGTGTACTTGAGTTTAACATTTGGTTTGTAGCCCTCCTTTTCTTTGAAGTCTGAGGTTGGACCACTGTAGCGCTCATTACGTACAAATTTTCATCATCTCTGAAAAAGATAAAGGAATTCTATATATAAAATTCCTTAATTAGTCTTCCTTGCTTACTTAGTCCTGTCTTGACCATCATGTACACCTCTCTAATAGTCAAGTGGGTCAATCCCGAGAGAAGACAAGACTTGCAATCCAGTTATAGAGGAGATGAAAAGTGTTCAAAGCTCAGATATTCTTTAACCTTCAAAATCTCCTACTCTGCTTCATAATCAAAGTAAGTGGCCAATCCTTGTGCCCATGACAACTCTCTTCCCTAAAGCCTGCTGCAGAGAAGACTTGACAGCTACAGGACAACTTAGGTGAGTTAGTCTGCCAAGTTATCCCTGTAGCAGACCGTGGAGGCCCATAGCATTGTGAGACATTAAGGCTCCCACGTTTTCTAGACAATTGACTCATAGATAGCGGTGAGGTTGTCAGCCTTACGCACTAGCCGCACTTTACCCCCATGAAAATTCCTGGTACTCATTTCTGTTAAGAGGCTGAGCTGACCCCAGGGATATAGTGCAGCTGGAAGGATTAGGGCAAATGAAAAAAATTAATGACCTCGTCGGGGACTTCAACCCACAACCTTCCACCTTGTAGCATAGTGTCTCAACCAACTATCCTACAGCTCCTAATATTAAACAGTAATGATTAATGTGTTTCTACTAAAACCCCTAACAAAACTGCAGTATACGATTAAATATGGTACACCACTTATGAAATACTTAAAATATAAACAGACAATTAAAACCAATAATAAAGTGTCAAGATCTCTTAATTTGAATAGGCCTTTGTTGTACATAAAGAATCTTCTAGTGACTCACCAATCTCAACTTCATTCCAAGCTCCACGTTTACCTTCTTCTTCCTGACGTTTCTTCCGTTCAATCATTTACCTCTCAAGTCCTGTAATGTAAATTTTGTATGAGATTAGCACAACGCAAATGCGCAGTCAAATTACCAATTCATTACCTTGAGATAGACTGACATCTGAACTGCTTACCCACCAACCACTGTATAAAAAATTACTGCACTGTAAAGTACTGACTACACTGTGTAGGATTTGAGCTGCTGTCAGCAGTGGTTTTGAAGAGTTCTGCCATCTGGGACATAATGCTGTGTAGTCTGTCGAAAGTCAACAGACATTTTGGAGACACATGTCGCCTCCATCTTCAGGGTTGAAGAATAAACCAAGCAAGAAACCAGCGCTGGCAGGTAACAAAGCCAACCTTCCTACCTGCTTCATGCTGGCTTCTTGTTTCGTTTATTCTTTGACCCGGAAGATTCAGGTGACATGTTCCCCCAGAAATTCGGATGATACCCCAGAAAACAATTCTTGTGACTATATTGATCATCTTGAAACGTCTTTGCCAAAATGTGTCTTTTTAATATCACTGTATCTTTCAGAGTTACAGTTCTATTAGAAACATACTCTCATTCTGCCAAGCAATGTACACCTGCCAAACTAATTCTGAGTTTGCAGTGAGAATATTGTGACAATTAACATTCAATTCACTTTGAAAGTAATAAAATTACAAGAACTATTGGTTTTCCATTTTGTCATGTTCTGGGCTATTTCAATGTCACATATAATTCCTAGCAGTATCTTTTCTACCCTTGTATCATGCACATGGCACAGGGAGGAAAAAGAAATAAAAGATAAAAAAAGGCCGGATTTAAAATTAGAGGAGATTAAGAAAGGCACTAACTTCTGGGAAGTAACAGCTTGTAAGTCAACTGACATTCCTTCAAAATGCTTATGGACTTTATCACATTATACGTCATTTTATTTCAGAAGGACCCACTTGTCAAGAAGAAGACAAAGGTTCTACCATCTCAACTATCACATTCTTATTGTATAACGAGTGCTTTCATTTCTAGGATTTCTGTTGGATGTTTCCAGTTCAGTAATTTATATATCCATTATCATGGAATTCAACTGTAATTAAAATATATTCTAATTCTGTTGCAGCTGCAGTAAGTAACTGTAGATGGGCAATGGACTGTATCCAGTGTTGACACATGCTAAATCAAACTGCCTTTGCCAAGTATTCATTTATCTGTGGATCACAAGTAATTCCTGAGCGTCTTCATCCCTGTTGCCAGCCAGACCTTAAGTAGGAATGTCACGCAGTGCGCAGCAGAATTCTGCTGTAGCATTCAGCACAATGGAACCACCTTCCGTTTCCATCTGAGTTTCTCTCCAACACTGACTCTGCCACCTACAAACATCACAAACAGTTAAATTATGTAGCTATACAGCATTCTGTTTTGTAGTATCCATAAATACAAAGCTGTCTCTATGCTTAATTAGTTCTGCTCCAGATGGAGGTGAGTGGCCAGCTCCATGCCACTCCCACACTTGGGAAACAGACCCTGGTGCTCATTTGGCAGGAGGCCATAACAGGCCTCAATAACACAAATACAAGAAAAGATGATAGTATAGAAAAAAAGTAAAGCTATCCCTGTAACAGGCGGTGGAGGACCATAGGTGTGCGAGACATCAAGACTCCCATACTTTCTCGAGAATAAGCTCACAGATGGCAGTGAGGATGTCAGCCTTACACGCTGGCTGCCCTTTAACCCCCAAGAATATTCGTGGTACTCATTCCTGTTAGAGGATGAGCTGACCCCAGGGTCATAGTGTGACTGGAAGGATTCGGTCAATCTAAAAATCCAATTACCTAACTGGGAATCGAACTCATGACCTTTCACTTTGTAGCACAGTAAGAAAGGATGACAATATTACTTAAATGTGAAATATGATTTACTGGTTTGAGGCCCACCACAACAAACTGAGAGAAACAATTTAATAGCCCTCAGGTTAAATTACAATATAGTTTCTCTAGGGTACAATGGTGTTGTACAGTAACCAGGATGGAAACATCATATGAACTTTACTACAAAGTTCTGTGCAACATTTAATAACTGGAACATATGCAGACACTGCAGGAACTAAACATGGCACAGAATTCTGTAGCTAGGGACAATTTCATCACCTCCTACCACCTATCCATTGGGCTGCTCCTGTTCTCGCTCAGGGATAAAAAGCAGCGTTTATCTCTTCTTGTAGCAGTATAATAATTTTTTGTTCTGATTTCAGTATATTTTAAATTTATGACAAAAAGTACTCGTTACCTCACGTGTTTCACAACTCATTGACGAAAACTTGAGTGTCATCCCCAATTTTTACAGAACGAACGGCCATTTTGGACATCGATAAGGGTGATGATCGATGGATAGATAGTAATCGATCTCTCGGGAACGGGTAATCGTATGTAGTTATCGCAAAGTTAAGTAGGACAGTTTCGCGCTTGTTTGTTCGGAAGTATGGAATTTGTTTTGATGTGGTGAATAAGAGCTGGCGTTTACTGTTTAAGTTAAATCGCCATGTTACTGTTTCTGAAATTAAGTTAGAAATTTATATGAAGTGAAAATTTCCTTTTAAGATATTTCTGTAGGTTATGCATCTTTCGATGTAGCTGAAAGAAGGTGTGTAGAATCTCGAAACTCACCGTGTCCTGTGATTGTGTTATAATATATGTATTGTTTCTTGCAGGATAAATGGGAAAAAAGAAATTTTGCACTTNTGCACTTCCCCAGGGTTTTCGTCATCCAGTAGGCAGACAGGTTTGAAACTCTTCAACTTTCCCAGGTATTCAGCACGGTAAGTCTTGTTTAATGCATGATGTAATGACTTTATTATGTGTTTCTTATCCAACGAGGAAATTAAGTTTAGCTGGTGTATGTATTAAAAGTATTAAACTTTACCCCTCAACGTAGCACCAGCACCATGTTTGTAATACTTAAAGATGGAATTATTTGAAGGTTTTGAGACAATATGTAATACTCTTACAGGGCTATGGTGTGGGCAGGGAGAGTTGGGATATCCTGCACTAATGTTTCTACTAGAATGGTGTACTATAAATGTTTGTGCAGCTGAACGGATTTGCAGTTCCGGTAGCTCAGATTCTGCAGCACAATCACTCCCACAACCTCCTGATCATTACACACCATTTCAGGTAAGCAATCAATGCTTCTTTTATGAATGCAGTGGCTAATAATGAGGACTAGTGTTCAAAGTTGTTGTCCCTAGAACCCAGTTGTAATCAGACAAACGTCATTGTCATCATTTATTACTATTGAAATTGTATATCAGTATACAGGTGATGGATTATTAAAAAATGTTTGAAAAGCAGAACATTCTTTCAGTAATATGATTTATGAGAGAATGAGGTGGTAAAGACTTTACTGTGAGGAGTAAAGTAAGTGAACATAGTTTTTATAGAGGCAGTATGTTGTACTCCTTGCCCTAATTTATTTT